GACTTTTCTGTATTTATTCAAGAGCATGAAGAATCTCAGCTAGATGCCATGTTTTGCAGTCGTTTCACTGTGGTACGTTAGCTGTTTCCAGCATCATTTTGAATTTGACTACATGAATTCGTCTTGTTTAGGATTCTGATTTCGGTGTGTTCTTCATTCTGGCAGATACCCGCCGGAATTGGACCTTAGATCCCATCGGAAAATTGTTATTTTCATGGTGTTTTGATATCTTCCAAGTTCTTTGTAAATGTATTAAAATTGATCGAAAAATCAAGGCAATTAGTATGATTGCGATGAATTCTACTCAGTTTCTTAAGTGTGATCTGCATGAATTGTTTGAATTAGGAGGATGAACTGTACGCTGAAGTGTGCAAAGGCTTTCCGGAACAAGTGGTGATATTCCCTTGGACTTCGCGACCGAAACGAACCTTTGATTATACGTTAGTTATTCCGATGACGTTTCAATTGTTGTATTTCAATCGATCTTGTTAAACGTTGTCGCTTTTTTGATTCATTCCACTGATTGTGAGTACTATTGAATTTTTCAAAAAAAAAATTGTTATCCATTCTAATTTCACTCAGGCTCTTACTGATTTCCAAACATTTCAGTCGTCGGCGTGACGCAGGAGGAAGCGCGTATGAGCGCGGTGAACAGCCACCGAATAAACGATGGGCTGGTGAAGATGTACGATGGAATCAACATCATCGAAATGATCAAGGTGACTGGAGAGGAGGTGGTAGGTCGGGCTGGGGCCGAAGACAACCAGGAGAGGGATACGGCAATTGGCATGGACGAGGTCGGGGGAATTGGTCCCGAGGACATGACGCCAGGCAAGATTCGTCATCAAGGGGACGACCAGGATGGAACAATGGCGGTGGTGATCCACCGAACTGGAACAATGCTCGGAATGAACAGTGGACGACAAATGACCGAGAGAGGCAAAGTAATTATCCGAACAGATAAAGTTTTGCTGAAAAATCAACTGAATAAATTCATTCAGTTATGTTTGATTTTCGTGTTATTTTTATCGTGAAATTTCAATTGCATAAGAATCTGTTTTGAATGCTGGATGATGAATACTGGCTTGATGCAATAACACTGAGTATCGTTGCCTCGTTATTTTCGTTATTCTGCCTCGGATATCGTAATTTTTTTATTTTTATTTTTGCAAATTTCTTTGAGATGTTCTTCCATTTCGATCTCAAGTTGTGAACTCTTTATATTACACTTGATGTTGTTGTATTTTATAATGTCGAAATTAATTTATTGTCAATGTTGTTGAATGTTTCAAATTCATTGAGAATTTTTACAAATCTCTGTTTTGCAAACTTTGCACTTTCACCAATCCAATGACTTTGTATTTTTATTGTCTTACTTCAACAAAATAAACGAAAATAATGAACTGCGTAGAAATCATACTGGATTGCATGTGTTTCATGCAATTATCAAAACCTATCCCACAGATTATAGTCAAACAATATGATGTGGTATAAGATTCGTTTTTATTTACGTTTTGGCATTTCATTGTGCCACTTTCATTACTATTTGGGATAACAACAAGTNCATATTGGATTTCATGTGTTTCATGCAGTTTTCAAACCCTATCCCACAGATTGTACTAAAACAATATGATGTGGTATAAGATTCGTTTTTATTCACGTTTTGGCATTTCATTGTGCCACTTTCATTACTATTTGGGATAACAACAAGTCAAATTATATAATATTGATTGCGAGATAATAGCGATTTGTCAACAATAAAACAAACAAAATGGCAGTTTAGAATAGACTCTACCTGATCAAAGGTGATAATTTCATCTAGATTCGAGACAAAGTAATGCATATTGCAGTTTGCTAGCTGTTGTGTTTGAGTAGAATGTGACCGTACGTTATATTGGTCATGTGATATTATCACATTGTATTCATAGGGACTGGTTATTTGAACGTTACGCGAGAATGCTTCTCTTCAACAATAGCAGTTGTTTAGAGATTTGTTCGACTAATGACGATAAGTGATATGGTTCAAAAAATCATTCCAGAGTAATCCAAGTTTCGTTAAAATTTCGTTGACGATCATTCACTTCTCTATTTCACCTGTCATTGATTTTGCCAACTTGTCGTAGGTTAATAGTACAATGGAGGATATCACAGGTTGCTAGGATAGAAATATGAGTTTACTTCATTTAAGAATAGGTATATAGGAAATGTTGGTCTATTAATGACTAACAGAATTCATTGTCATGTCATTATAACGAAATGATTACAAATCAATTGGTTCAGCGCAAAAGCACAGCAACCAATAAACTTGAACATAATAAGTCGAGGAAGTAACGAGAGAAGTATAAATCGAAACAAAATGTTTGGAATAATATAAGATTTGATCGCCGTGTCGTATATGAAAGACATTTAACATTGGGCATACATACA